TGACAATGATAAGTCAGTATGTATCAGTTATAACCATCAATATTATTGGTCTCAATTCACCAGTCAAATAGATTGGCAGAATGGGTCAAGAAACAAGATCCAACAATATGCTGCATACAAGAAACACACTTAATTAAAAAAGAAACTCATAGACTGAAAGTTAAAGGGTGGAAAACAATCCTCCATGTGACAGGAACCTGAAAAAAAAGCAGGAGTGGCTATCCTTTTTGCAGATTGAATGGATTTCAAAATCTGAAACACTTCTTGTCCCAAGAATTTCAGATAAGGGACAGTCAACCTGTATGTACAAATCTATTATGAACATGTGTTTTCATTTCTCTTAAGTAAAAACTTAAGAACAGAACTGTTAGTTCTTAACCAGTACCACAAGAAATTTCTGTATTGTTTTCTGAAATGGTCTTATCATTTTACATTCACATTAGCAGTATTAGAAAGTTTTAACTGGTTCACACCTAAACTGACATTTGTTTTTTTAAAACCTTTTAACTTCATCTCCCTAATGAGTGTATAATATGATCTTGTTATTGTACTGATTAGTATTTTTCTGGTTCTAGTGTTGCATACCTTTCCTGTGCTGTACTGGCTATCATCTTCTTGGGTCTACTTTTTAATTGGGTTATCTATTAATGAGCTGTAAGAGTTCTTTATATATTCTTGTCATAGGTTATATGTTTTATAAATATGTTCTGGTTAAGGACTACTTTTCATTTTCTTAATGATGTGTTCTTTTAAAGTTCTAAATTTTCATGGAATCTCAGTTATCAATTTTTTTCTTTTATACATCATGTTTTTTGTGTCCTAGGAAATTCTTGCCTACCCTAAATTCATGAACATTTTCCTTTATAATTTCTTCTTAAAGTTTTATAGTTTTAGTTTTTCATGTTTAGGTTCATAGAGCCTTCCAAGTTTTTTTTTTCTTTTTTGGTACCGGGGATTGAACTCAGGACCATGTGCTTGGGACGCAGGCGGCAGAACCACTGAGCTAAATCCCCGGCCCCTTCCAAGTTATTTTTATGTATGGAAATAAAGGGTTGAGGTTAATCTTTTGAATACGGATATCAGGAGTTCTAGTACCATTTGTTGAAAAAATTATCTTTTCCTCTGCCCTTGAGTTGAGTTTATGGTCTATAAAATGTTAATGTTAAATAATCTTTCAAAACTCAGTGGACCATATATGTGTAGTTCTATTTCTAGATTCTGTTTTATTCTATTGATCTATATGTCTTTCCTTATGCCAGCATTGCCTTGATTACTGTAGCTTTAGAAGAAGTCTTAAAATCAGGTAATAAATGTCTTCCAACACTTTTATTTTTCTTTTTACTTTTCCAGGTCCTTTCTACTCCTGTGTAACTTTTATTTATTTATTTATTTATTTTCCTACGTAACTTTTAAATTTCAATATCCAGGGCCAGGGATTTAGCTCAGTGGTTTTGCTACCTGCTGCGCAAGCGCAAGGACCTGAGTTTAATCCCTGGTACCAAAAGAAAAAAAAAAAATTTCAATATCCAATTCTTCATTTATAGCAACTATAGATAGACCTGAATTTTTATATATACCTTCTGTTTTCTAATCCTGCTAAATTCAAATACAAGTTCAAGGGGCTCCTAGAGATTTCTTAGTATCTTCTCTGTAGATGATCATTTCATCTGCATATAAAAATTTTACTTCTACCTTGCCAATCCTATGCTATTTGTTTCTTTTTATTGACAGACTATTTTGGTTTGGGCCTATGTTTCAAAGTTCAATCAACAGATGAAGAGTGGGCATATCTTCCCTTGTTCCCCACCTTAGGGAGAAAGCATTGTATCTTTTCCATTCATATAAGGCATTTTTGCTGGAAGTACGGAGTACATGTCTTTTGTCTGTTGAGAAGATTCTGTTCTACTTCTAGACTCCTGATAGCTTTTACCATGAACAGCTGTAAAATTTGGTCCAATACTTTTTCTGCAACTACTGATAGGATCATATGGCTTTTTCTTTTCCTTTGTTAAAATGATAACTTTGGGGGTGGATCTTCTAATGCTGAAACAACACTGCCATCTCTATAATAAAACCACTTTCTACGTACTGCCAGATCTGACTTCTAATAGTTTGTTAAACAAATTTTTATTTATATTCATACTTTTCTATTCTCTTTATCTAGTTTTAGTATTAGTACAATGTTGAGTTCCTAAAATGAGGGGAGAGTGTTCCTTCTTTTTTCTGCTTTAAATGTTTGATATTATTTATCAGTTAAAATGTATGTGAGCCTGTTGTTGTCATATAGGTAGGTTTTCAAGCTAGGAATATACTTTCTTTAATAGGTGCTATTCAAATTTTATATTTCTTCCAGAGTCAGTTTCATTAATTTGTCTTCCAAGGTACTTCATAGAAGTTGTCAAATTTGGCCAGGGATTTAGCTCAGCAGTTTCACCACCTGCTCCACAAGCGCAAGGACCTGAGTTCGATCCCTGGTACCAAAAAAAAAAAAAAAGAAGTTAAGTTGTCAAATTTATTTCAAAAAATATTTTTATAATATGCTTTCTATATCCTTTTAAATTCTGTAAAATCTGTGGTAATGTCTCCTAGATCTTGATATTGTAATTTTATTACACTGTTGGAGTTTTTTTCCTTTTTGTTTTTGTACGGGGGATCAAACTTGGGACCTTGTTCTTGTGAGGCAGGCAACAGAACCACTGAGCTAAATCCCAGCCCCAATATTGTAATTTTTAAAAAATGTATAATTGATACTGTGTAATAGGAAGAAAAGGTCTATAAAGGAGTAGGGGACATGGGAGGGTTAGGGGAAAGGAAAGAAGGGAAAAGAAAAAATATAAGAAAAGGAAAAAAGTGGAAACAAAGTCTTTGTAAATAGGGAAGGGTGGAGGAGGTGAAGGGAGGCCAGGGGAATGGGGAAAAAAATTAAAACCAAGATATGTCATGTAAAGGCACAAGATCCCAATGATAAATGTAACTATTTTATACCTAAAATGTACCAATAAACTTAAAAAACACAAAAAACCCCAGTCAATTCTAGGTGAATCACAGACTTAAATGTGGAAGCTAAACCAATAGAACACATAGTGCTAAATATAGGAGAATATCTTCATGTACTTGAAATGGTGAAGGATTTCCTAAGTAGAACATTTGTAGAAATAACCCTAACCATTATGGGGACAGAAGGGGTTGATAAATTTCAGTACATGTATCTAATCAAAATATAGCATAAAGAGTGAAAAGCCAACCCCCAGAGTCAGAGAAACTGTAAAACATAAAACGTTTATAAAAGGCTCATATCCAGGAAGAGTGACGGAGAAGCTGAAAACAGGCAAAAAGATTTGTACTAACATAGCATAATCTGTTATGAACAAGGATAACCACATGGTCAGTAAGTAAATAGTGAAAAGGTACTCAGTCTCACTGAAAATCAGAGAAAAGCAAATTAATGTCCTATGACCCAGCAATCTTATGACTTATATACCCGACAGCAGTGGTGCACATGTGCACCCAGAGGCATAATATGAAAATCTTCATAGCAGTAGTATTTGTAATAGCTAAAATGAGGAAAGAACATAACAATAATAGGCTGGATAGTTAGTGGCACATTCCTATAGTGGATGTTATACAACCATAAAGATTAGTGAATTAGGGATATGTGACCCTGTGGCTGTATCTCATAAACTTAATATCAAATTAAGTAAGAGACAGAAAAGAATACTTATTGTCTGATTATATTCCATGAATTCTTCTGTTTTCCTTATAAATTAATATACCACATTTATGGAATGCATGCCTATTTGGTATAGCATGATAAAGAGAAGTTAGTGATTATTGTAAAAGTCAAGTTAGCAGCTCTTTTGACTGTTGTATTTCTTGGTCTGGATGAGTGATTCCATGAGTCTCCCTTTTATAATTATTTGACACCCCCTCACTCTCACCCCCTCAGTTCTGGGGATTGAACTCAGGGCCTTTGTACTGATCTACATCCCTGCTCCCCTTTTTTTAGTTTTTAATTTGAGACAGGATTTCATGAAATCTTGAGGTTGCCCAGGCTGGGGTTGAACTTCTGATCCTCCTGCTTCAGCCTCCCAGAGTGTTGGGATTATAAGTGTGCACTGCCACACTTGACTTATAATTATTTGACTATTAATATTTTTGTATTTTTAGTAACTCTTGTATTTAATCAAAAAGGAATGTGGGGGTAGCTATGAAGAAAAAGGAGAAAACAAATACCTTAGTTTCCATGACATCATCTGTTTAGTTTCAAGTATGAAGGTAACCAGCTGTGACTAGTTACTAATAAATAGGCTGTCATGTCACCTCATCTTTTTTTACCTTAACCTATAAAGAAAAGAAGGCATTGTAGTAGGTAATGGCTGGCAGCAGTTTGTTGTTGTTGTTGTTGTTGTTGTTGTTGTTGTTAAGGAGGAAGGGTCTTGTTTTGTTGCTAGGTTGACCTCCATCTCCTGGCTCAAGTGACCTTCCTGCCTCAGCCTTCTGAGTAACTGGGACCATAGACCTGCCTCACTGCATCCCACTCTGTTCTCTTATTTGTATTTTTAAATCAGCTTTATTGAGGTCTGATTTACAAATACTGTGGTTGAATTTCAAAAACTGTCAGGAAGAGATTAGATTTTGAGAGTGTAGATAACAGTAAAATTTTTTTAATTTTTATTTTGGTACAGGGGATTGAACTTGGGTCCTTGTGCTTGCGCAGCAGCCGGCGTAACCACTGAGCTAAATCCCCGGCCCCAGTAAATTTTTTTTAACTTTTAAAAATATTTACTAGTACATGTTTGCGGTACATAATGATTATATTCATTGTGGGGAGTTGCTACATGTACAAAACACATCTCAATTCTCTGTACATCACCTCTCCTTCACACTAAATTTTTCATAGCTCTTTGTAGTTTGGCATACTTTCACATTTCTGAAGAACATTTGGGTATCTGTAGATCTGTTGATTATGGATAAAAATTTTATCAATATTTCTACCATAGGATATCTCTTAGACTCTCTGCCCAGAAGAATATGGAGAAGAAAGAAAAACACCATGTTCAAATGAAAGCAAAGAGATGTGCCACTCCTGTAATCAGTGAAATTCCACCTTCCAAGAAAATGAAAATGTAAGTAGACACGACTTTTTTGTTTGTTTTTTGAGACAGGGTTTTACGCTGGCCTTGAACTCAAGCCAATCGTCTTGCCTCAGTCCCCCAAGTGCTGGAATTACAGGTGTTCATCACCACACCTGGCTGATTGACACACTTATTCCCAAGGGGTGACATACTCTGCTTTGTATACTGCCTGTAAGTTAAATTTCTTTCCTGAATTTAAACTTCTAGTGAACCAAGTAGAATTCCAAGTGGGTATGTCTTCAGTCTTGATACACCTGGGGCTTGGTAAACTCCTAACACTGTGTCCATGATGAGGGCAGTTGTTATGTGTGTGTGGAGGGTGTGCAAACCTTAGTTGACACAGGTTTTACTCCATTTACTCCTGTGGCTAAGGACAAGCCAAACATACGGCACATTTTCCCATCAGTTAGGAATGTATTTTGTGGCAAACAATATTCACCTAGAGTGTTTAAATAATAGTGACTTGTTTGCTCCAAAGAAGTTTACAAATAGTTTCCTGCTTGCTTTGTTTCAGTTGCTGAACAATGGCTATCATCTCTATGATACTTAGGTTTGTTTTTTTTTAAGTACTTGGTGCTCAAAATGGCTGCTCTGTTGTTTCTTAGCTTTTTCCTTTGGCGGCTTCTTTTTTTGGTTTTTTAAGGCAGAATCTTGCTACATAGCCCAAGGTGGCCCCGAACTCACAGTGATCCTCCTGCCTCAGCAGGGATTACTAGCCTGCCTTCCTTTGGCTTCTTAGTTCATTATCAGAAGATAACTGCTATATCTGTAGGCATAGCATCCATGTTTAAGAGGAAAACAAGTGTATGGTAAGGAAAGAGAGTAGCATTCATATCAAGAAAAGGAAATCTTTCTCAAAAGCACTTAAATTACATCTTAGTTTCCCAGACTGTCACTTGGCCTCCCTAGTTGCAGTAGAGACAGTAGAAATAAGTACAGTACTTACTAACTAGTAGCTTGCTGCATTGTTGCTTTTTCTAATAAGAAAGAGATGGAATGGATAGTAGGAAGGCAACTATAATGAGCAGATAGAATCTTTTCTTACCCTCCTAACCACCATTGGCCAACCCTAACCTTGATCTCTGTCCACTCTCTCAAGGTTTATTCATTGGAGATATTGGTATCCAAGAATCTGCAACCTGCAGCCTGCAGATTGGACAGGCCCATGTTAGAATAAAAAGTATATTTTAAAAAGAAGTTTGTTTAAACTTATATATACTATCTATATTTTTATATGTGACTGAAGACAATTTTTCCTCACTTAATGTGGCCCAAGCAAGCCAGGCATGTCCAGCCCATTGGCCTCAGATTGGACATACTGGGTGTAGCAATCTTATGATACTATTGGAAAAATTTTGTGGTTAGAGCATGTTTATTATCCTAAAAATGAGAACATTTGAACCATGTTGGTAGATTTGGAGGGGAGGTTGGTGTGAAATATGCATTAGGGAATTGAGTGTATGTTTTTTGTCCTTTTTAATTCAAGTTCTCAAAACAGAAAGGATCCAGAGGAAGAGGAAGAGGGCAGTGCTCAAGATACTTCCAAAAAGAATAAATTTTCCCCAAAGAAAGCCAAGGGCAGACATACTACACCTCATGTACCAACTATAAAGTAAGTTTTCTTTCCCAGGTTAAACTAAGAGTGAACAGTACAATTATAAGTGGGTGCATCTGCAATCTTTTTAGTGCACCTGGAGCTGGAGAAACTCCTAAAGCTGTGTCCATGGTAGGTGAGTTGTTGCCAGTATTCTAAGTGCTGCTGAAACCTTAAAAAATGAGAAAATATATTATTTAAATATAACCTTTATAATATATAAAAGTTAATAAAGGTTCTTACTACCTAAATTGAAGTTTACTTTTTTTTTTTAACTTTCAGATATTTTCACCTTTTTTTTTGATACCAGGGATTGAACTCAGCACCTTGCACTTGTAAGGCAGGCACAGTACCACTGAGCTAAATCCCTGACCCTATTTTCACATTTTTGAAAGCTTCCTCTGGCCTTTATTCAAGTAAATATGCATATTTTCACAAACAGTTAATAAACAACCTTTGGGTTCTGCTTAGTCATTTGCCATGAGATGATTTTTTTCCTGTACTGCTCCATATGTTTGTGTTTATACTTTTTTGGTATTGTTAATATTCTATCAAATTATATTTAACCATCTCCTGTTGTAATGTAGTTCCCAGTTTTTCACTGTAATCTGTGATTATACAGTAATCAGTGAACCAGCTTTATAGGCAGAGCCATTTCTTTGAGGAATCTCCTTAGAATAAAGAGATTCTTCCATCAAAATGTCTTATGATTTTGTGAGGATTGATATTTGTTGCCAATTTAATTCCCGAAATTAAAGCACCAATTTATACTACTATTGGCTTTGAATGAATATTTTTATTTCTTATATTTTATTTTTTAGTTTTGCTTTTTGAGACAGGGTCTTACTATGTAGTTCAGACTATCCTTGAACTCACTTTTTAGCCCAGGCTGGCCTTGAACTTGAGGTAATCCTCCTGCCTCAGCCTCTGAAGAGCTGGGTTACAGGCATGTGCCACCATGCTCGGCACATTTCTTGTATTGTTATCTGCTTTCTTTTACCTTATAAAATTGCTGCAAATTTAGTTAACGCAGCATTTTTTTTCTTGTTCTTCAGATTTTCTAGTTTTGGTTTTTTGAGGCAGTTCAGTTTGGCCTTGAATTTGCTAGGTAACCCAGGCTGTGATCCTCCTGCCAAAACCTCCTGAGTGTTAGAATTACAGGCATATGCCACCACACCCTGCAAAAAGTTTTAATTTTTTTTTCTGGTACTGGGGATTGAACCTGTGTTAGGCAAGCACATTCTCACTGAGCTATACTTCCAGTCCTTTTAAAAATTGATACAATGGGCCTGGGGATTTAGCTCAGTGGTTCCGGCACCTGCCTCGCAAGCGCAAGGTCCCGAGTTCGATCCCCGGCACAAAAAAAAAAAAAAAAATTGGTACAATTTGATGGCATCAAATTAGTTTTAAAATTTTATAAATTGACAGTGTATAATTGTATATATTTATGGGATGCAAAGTAATGTTATGACTTTTAACAACAATATAGAATAATTAAGCCCGATGTGGTGGCGCATGCCTGTCATTCCAGCACTAGGGAGCCTGAAGCAGGAGGATCACTGTGAGTTTGAGGCCAGCCTGGGCTACATAGAGAGTTCAGGGCCAGCCAGAACTACAAAGGGAGACCCTGCCTCAAAAAACCAAAAAACAACAACAGCAGCAAAAAAAACAATAAAATAAAAAAATAACCCACAACTAGAATAATTAAATCAAGGTAATATATCCAACACCACAAATACTTACCATTTTTTATGGGGGAACAACTGAAATTTACTCTTAGTAATTTTGAAATTTGCAATACACTATTTTTTTTTTTTACACTTTATTAAATTCTTTTATTGATTGCAATACACTATTATTACTACATTAATTATGCTGTGTAATAGATCTTAAAAAGCACTTATTTCTTTTCTCTGAGATTTTTTTTTTTCCATTAAGTTTATTGGTATATTTTAGGTATAAAATACAGTTACATTCATCATTGGGATCTTGTACCTTTACAGGAGTATTTTGGTTCTTATTTTTTTCCCCTTTCCCTGCCCTCCCTTTACCCCCTCCACCCCTCCCTATTTGTAAAAACTTTGTTTCCATTTTTTTCCTTTTCTCATATTTTTTCTTTTCCCTTCTTTCCTTTCCCCTACCCCTCCACTTCCCCTTGTCTGAGATTTTTGTACTCTTTTAACCATTATCTCTCTTTTCTTTCCATCCCCAGCATCAATTTTTTTTTTTTTTTGGTACCGGGGATCGAACTCGAGTCCTTGCACTTGCTTAGCAGGCGGCAAAACCACTGAGCTAAATCCCCAGCCCACTGTGTGTTGAATTTAAACATGTGTCAACCACTTCAGAATCATCTGATTTAACAGTCATAAATATTCTGTGAGCATTAGTTTTCTATTCCTCAACTTTCAATAGAGAAAATAGGCTAAGACAGGTTAGTTTTCCCAAGTCTATATAGGCTAAAAATAAAATGTGAGAATTGGAATTTGACTTTTAAGTCTGTCTTCTCTGTTAAACCTAGTTTACACTATTGCCATATTTGTTGTAACTATTCTCCCCATTCTTATTATTCACCATTCTTACTTGTTTTGCAGTGCTGGTGATGAAGTCCAGGGCCTTGTGCTTGCTAGTCAAGCACTCCACCACTAAACTACATCCTCAGCTTGCGTGCTTGGTTGCTTTGCTTTGCTTTCTTTTTGTGGTACTGGGGATTAGACTCAAGGCCTTGCACTAAGCTATATTCCCAGCATCCTCTTCCACTTTTTAATTTTCATTTTTTATTTTGAGACAGGATCTCACTGAGTGTATAAGTTGCCCAGGCTGGGCTTGAATTTGCAATTCTCCTGCCTCAGCCTCTCAGAGTGCTAGGATTACAGACCTGTGTTACCATGCCAGGTTCTACTGGTTTTGTTTGTTTGTTTTTGGTACCGGGGATCAAACTCAGGACCTTGCACTTGGGAGGCAGGCAGCTGAACCACTGAGCTAAATCCCCAGCCCTCTACTGGTTTTTTAGATTAGATATTTCATGTGTCATAAAAGCTAAATCATTGTATAATCAGATTTGTGGCTCTTTTGTAGTCTCTCTCTTTTTTTTTTCGGTACCAGGGATGCAACTTGGGACCTTGTGCTTTTGAGGCAGGCGCTGGAACCACTGAGCTAAATCCTCAGCATTTTATAGTATCTTTTACAGTCAGTTTTAGCTATTTTTAAAAATTTTTAATGTTTGATATATAAAATATGCATGTTAGATTTTACATTTTTGTTTATAGTGTTGTCTAATTAAGCCAGTATTTTTATTAGATAACTTTTGTTTTTGATGGTTATCATAAGTTAAAAAACGTAGTCTATATAATGCCTTTAATTCTTCTGAATCATTGAATACCTTTTTTCTCTCTGATTTGTTCTACTGATTTGCCCTTTAGGCAGAAAGTTCTCAAAAGTACTGAGGAGCAAGAGTTGGAAAAGAGCATGAAAATGCAGCAGGAGGTGGTAGAAATGCGGAAAAAGAATGAAGAGTTCAAGAAACTTGCTCTTGCAGGAGCAGGTCAGCTGGGCTTTGGCTGAGTATTTTATGAGAGTGCTTCTTATAATCTTGGTAGGGTTTCTTTGTTCTCTGCAAAAAGGATTTCTCAGTAGTCAGCAGAAAAATGTTAGTTTAAAAGACTGAACATGGGCCTCATTTATACCCCAGCAATTATTCCTTATAATGTTTTACCTACATTGGCCCTTAGAGCATGCTTTTTTTTTTTTTGGTATGGGGATGAACTCAGGACCTTGCACTTGCCAGGCAGATGCAGCGCCACTGAGCTACATCCCTGGAATTTATAGGGTTTTGTTTCCCTGTTAGAGATGCTGAGTTAAGTTTGCTTTTGAAGTCAATACATAAGGGCTACAGATGTAGCTAAGTGGTAGAGTGCTTGACTAGCACTTGTAAGGCCCTGGATTTGATGTCTAGTACCTCACATATAAAATCAGTCTATGGGTTTTCCTATCAAAGGTATCCCACTAACTCTCCAAACCTGTGACTACAGCTTGGAAATGAGATTTGTCTTCTCTTTTGTACTTCTTGTTTGCATCTGACTAAAGGGCTTCAAATCTAATAAGACTCAATGAATGTAACACATGTGTTAGTGTCCAGAGGGCTACCTTGCATTTGGGGTTAAATATAGGTAGAGAAAAAAGTTAGATCCATGGTAATTGAAATAGTGAAAAGATAGAGTAAAAGGGGATTTATTGATGTTCTTGATTTTTTTTGTTTTTTCTGATTTTTTTGAGGCACAGTCTTGCTGTGTAGTTGAGGCTGGGCTTGAACTCACTGTGTAGCCCAGGCTAGTCTCGAACTTCTGGTAATCCTCCTGCCTCAGCCCAAGTGCTGGGATTACAGGCATGTGCCACAACACCTGGTGCTGATGTTCTCTATTCTTTTTTTTTTTTTTTGTACTGGGGATTGAACTCAGGACCTTGTGCTTGTAAGGCAGGCGAAGGAACCACTGAGCTAAATCCTTGGCCCATGGTGGTCTCTATTCTTAATGTTATCTGTATGTCTCTGCTCCTCAGGGCAACCTGTGAAGAAATCAGTGAGCCAGGTAACCAAAGTAGTTGACTTCCACTTCTGCACAGATGAGCGAATCAAACAGCATCCTAAGAACCAGGAGGAATATAAGGAAGTGAACTTTACAGCTGAATTGCGAAAGCATCCTCCCTCTCCTGTAAGTTAATAGGCTAGATGAATGTGGTTGTTGCTAATTCAATTCAGATTTCAGGAATAGCAGTTGTGGTCACTAATTACCCTAGTTTAGTTGAAAGAAGCATATGTTTTGAATTAAGACATGTAAACCTTTAAACTGTGATCTTGGACAAATCACTCTACCTCTGGGAATCCTCTTACCAAGTTGCTGTGAAAATTAAATTAAGAAGGTACATAAAGCACATAAAAATATGTGCAAGAATTTGTAAGTATAGGTATTTCTTCTGCTACAAAATTGAGAAAATCTGCATCTGCAAAATTATGTAGAAAATACAACAGACCTTATGGGAACAAATGGGGTTGTACAGACCACTCAAATCCCATACGCTTTTATAAACAGAGGTTCAACGAAAACAATGACAATCCTAAATAAAAATTCTAGAACTTAAAGTCTACATGCATTTGTTGTTGGGATTGCCAGTCTTTTGTGGTCTTAAACCCAGAGTTTGTGATGCTACTTTTCAGATATGTCTTTGAAAAGTTTTGCTTTCAGCCAGACAGCAGTCTTAAACAAGACTAATGATCCAAGGAGTAGACTTTTTCATCAGTCAGTTTGAGGGAATGTATGTAGAGGCTGATCTGATGCAGACCCAAAGCCAGTTCAGTTTTTTTTAATGGGTTTGGGGTGGGATGCTTTTGCAACTCTCTTTTTTCTTTGAATGCTAAGAAAGGTTGCTTTTTTTTTTGTACCAGGGATCAAACTCAGGACCTTGCGCTTTCAATGCAGGTGCAGTGCCACTGAGCTAAATCCCTGACCCTAAGAAAGCTTGCTTTTGATTGGTTCAAATCATTAACATACTTAGGGAAACTGCATATGTACTGTTGTAAACAGATGATTTGCTAAGTGCTAGATCATTTCCTTTGTAAGCAAGAGAAAGAAATGCAAGCAAGCTAATCTTGTAATCTCAGTACTTGGGAATTTGGGAGGCTGAGGCAGGAGGATGATGAATTCATGGTCAGCCTAAAGAGTCAGAACCTGTCTCAAAAAAAAAAACCATGATGACTGATTATAATCCTTGCTGAAGGACGGACAAATATAATATACTATCAGAATATAATAATAATGGTTTTATCTGAGGTCTTTTTATTTTGATCTTCTCTACTGAATGTCTGGCTTGTGGTAGGTCTGTGCTTTTTTACAACGTTTCAGTTGGGAACAACTTTTCTCTTTACAGGCTCGAGTGGCTAAGGGATGTACTATTATTAAGCCTTTCAACTTGTCCCAAGGAAGGAAGAGAACATTTGACGAGGCTGCTTCTGCATATGTGTCCCTGGCACAGCAGGTTGAGGCGTTCCATAAACGAACCCCTAACAGATATCATTTGAGGAGCAAGAAGGAAGATATTAGTAAGTTTCCTACAATATCATCGATGACTGGAGCCTTCTCTAGAATTTTTAACACAGGAGTGATGGTTCTTTGTATAGATGATGGAAGAGTAAGAGGAATGTGTGCAAATGTTGATGGATTTATAGATACAGTGATGAATAGATGAGAGATTCTAATCTAATAGTTTCTGTCTTTATGAAAATAATTAAGATGATAAGGAGTAAGGAGTAGAGGTGGTATAAAATAATTGCCAAGAGAATGGGCCTAGTATTCTTGATAAAGCAGAATGTGATCATTTTGCCTTTGGGGTCTCTATAAAGTTTTTTTCTCCTTGGATAGGCTTTGTTTAGCACTGTATTTGGTAGCCACACAAGTTCCTTTAAGTACAGCATTTGATTTTGTCAGATTTTGAATTAGGAAAATAATGATGTCTCTGCTTACCCTCATGGAAATTTTAAGTATTAAACATGACTTTTCAAACAGTATGACTCAGACTTACTCTGATATGCTCTGCTTTTTGGAATCTGATTCCTTTCAAAGAGAAAGAAAATTATTTCATACAATTTTTATTTAAAATTTTGTACAATTAAATAGCTAAAAAATGGTTATATGCATATTTGAAGCATGGTTTATTTCTTTTGTTTTTGCTTTTGGTACTGGGGATCGAACTCAGGACCTTGCGCTTGTGAGGCAGGTGCTGGACCCCACAGTGAGCTAAATCCCCAGCCGCATGGCTTATTTCTAAAGTAAATAGATTTGATTTTGATATCCCACTGCATTGTGATAAGATCTGAATTAGAGGAAAATCATTCTAAATAATTAGTTATGACAATTGATAGGATTGTCCCTGGTCAGGTAGATCAATATTTTCTATGAGTGTTGGTGATAGTCCTAATATCAATGCTTTTTTTTGTTTACTTTTTATTTTTTTTAATAAATTTTATTTTACCCCACTTCCCCCCTCAAGCCCCCTCCCCTCCCTATGTATAAAAGCTTTGATTCCATTTTTTCCTTCTTAATATCAATACTTTGACAATGGCTTTTTACTTTCTCCTGTTTGGCTTTCTATGAATGGTGGTCTTGATGCTTTGATATACAGGTATGCCTCATTTAACTACCTACATGTTTAACAACTATTCAGACTCACAACCCACCACTTGGACTTACAACCCATCTTTTTCTTTGTACAGTTATGTACATCTTGTTGATAGAGCCTCAGTGTCTTTTTTTGTACAGTACACCTTGTTTATGTAGTACATAATTTTTGCTGAATGTACTTTACAGTAGTACAGTACTATAGTTTTATGTTCTGCTGTACGTTACAGTACTGCATGTAAGAGTTAGGCAAATCAAAGCAAAGTCATCAAGTTAGAATTTCTTTGACCATTTCTTTGTTCTGAATATTGTAATGTACATACTATATACGAGTCCTCATTTAGCAACTGATTCATTTAGTGACCTAGTTGGAGGAATTGAACTTGGTCGTTAAATGAGGAATATCTTAGATGTTTTTTAGGAAATTTGTAAAATTGAGAGTTATCACTTGGCCTTTAGAATCTTTCAACTTGTACCATGTAACGACCTTATATTTGAAAGTTGCAATTTAAAAAATCTTATTTTTCCATAATAAGAAAATAGTTGGTATTGTCAGTAAGGAAGTACAGGCCTGTGTAGTGCTGAGGAACCCATCAGACATGAATGAATTTTAAGTTTAGATGATGACATGAGAATTTACCCAGTCTCTCCCTCAATAAAGAGTGATGAGAAGAAGGGAATAACATTTGTCATGTTGACTGGTATCAGCTGAGCTGAGTATGAAGGGCTAGCCACTCTAGTTTGTTTATCCATCCTTGGGGCTGCCTAATTGAGTCAGCACTTAGAGCTAAACCAGATCTTGGGGAACTAGGTGAACATCTGTGATCTTGGTTTCCAGGCCTTTTATCCTCCAAATCTTCTGTGACCAAGATATCCACAGAGCCACAGACCCCTGTACTGCAAACCAGATTCCGAGCGAGGCCTGTGACCTGCAAAAGTACAGTGGAACAGGAGGCTGAAGAGCTTGAGAAACTGCAGCAGTAAGTTCTACTGATAGTGTCTAAGAGTTCCAAGAAACCTGCTTGCTTTCTCACAGTTCTGTGAGAGTGACAGTTGCTATTTTCCTTTCCATGAAAATCTGTGGCACTTGAGTTGTAGGCTCTGCAGGCTGTGCCCCTGCTTATATGATGAAAGACCTGAAAGTGGGAATGTGGAAATATCCTGGGCTGTAAACTGGTAAAAATCTAACTCAGCGGTTGGAGTGGAAGAATTTGTTTAAAGTTCCAATTAAGGAATGTCCTTGGAGGTTAGTTCAGGTAGAGTTCCACTTTATGACTGTCTCTAAAGGATTTTTATAGGTACTATCAGTGGAGGAAACCACAGCTTAATGCTTAGCATTGGAACCTATTTTCTTTTTTTTTAACTCTATAAATATTTAAAATGTTATTTGTCAATTAAAAATAAGTAAATATTTTTAGAAAAGAAAACATTATGGTCTTCTTTCTTTTTTTTTTTTCTGGTACTAGGGATCGAACTTAGGTCCTTGCACTTGCGCAGCAGGCGGCGAAACCACTGAGCTAAATCCTGGGCCCTATGGTCTTATTTCTTTTGTTTTTGTTTTTTGTATTTTTGGTACTGGGGATCGAACTCAAGACCTTGTGCTCACGAGGCAGGCAGCAGAACCACTGAGCTAAATCCCTGGCCCCAAAAAGTCTTTTTTTTTTTCCGGTATTGGGGATTGAACTCAGAACCTACTGCTTTCAAGGCAGGTGGCAGAATCACTGAGCTGAATCCCTGGCCCTAAGTGGTTATATTTCTTTATTTCCTATATTAGTGCATATTGGTGCATATTAGCTACACAGATTAAATGGTTTCATTTTGACAGATTTGTACATGCACATAATATACTTTAATCATTTACTCCATATCACTTTCTTTCTCTGCCCTCCCTTCTACTTTCACATATTTTTAGGGGAGGGTTTAATACATATAATGTATTTTCATCATATTCATTCCCTTCATTACATGTCTTTATACTCCTTCCTTAATCCCCCCTTTCTCCAAAAATATGACCTACTCAGAAAATAATCAGCCTTAAAAAAAGAAATAATAATAATAATCAGCCTTGAAAATTAGAGATCAAAATTGCCAGCCCCATTCAGCCTATTGTTCCCTTACCTGCCATCTCTGTTCTCTTGCTGCTCCATGGCTTCTCTGTAGGGCAAGTAAGGCAAGCATCGACTGATTGGGGCTGACATATTTGATCTCTAATTTTCAAAGCTGATTATTTTCTGGCTAGGTCTTATTTGTGGGATATAATGTAGTCTCCCTTCTACTTCTCATCTATTCAGAACATGCAATGTTTGTTTTCCTGAGTCTGGCTTATTTCACTCAACAATGATAATCTCCAATCTATCCCTTTTTTTGCCAGCTTTTTTTTTTTTTTTTTTGGTACTGGGCATGAAACTTGGGACCTTGAGCTTGGAACCACTGAGCTGAATTCCCAGCCATTTATCCTTTTTTTTTTTTTGAGACAAGGTATTGCTTTTTAGTTCAGGCTGGTGTTGTCCCTGAACTCATTATGTAGCCCATGCTGGCCTGGAACTCAAGGTGATCCTCCTGCCTCAGCCTCCCAAGTGCTGAGATTACAGGCATGTGCCACCATACCCAGTCAGATCCATCCATTTTTCTGCAAATGACTAAATCTTTTTGTGGCTGAATAATACTCTGGGGTGTGTGTGTGTGTGTGTGTGTGTGTGTGTGTGTGTGTATATATGTGTATATATATATATATATATCACATTTTCTAGGCTGATTTTGTGTCTTGGCTGTTGTATATTGTGCCACGGTAAACATGGTTGGTTATGTAGGTATCCCTATAGTATTCTGACTTTAATGACTTCAGGTATATACCAAGGAGTGGTAGGTATATCTGCATCAAATGTTGGCTGTAGTTTCAGTGTTTTGAGGAGTCTCCATACTAATTTACATAGTGGATATACTAATATTCATTCCCATCAGCAGGGTAGAAGGTTCCTTTCTCTACTCCTATCCTCCATAGCTCTCAAGGGTTGTTTTTTGTGTTTTTGTTTGTTTTTGGTATGTAGCTCAGGCTGGCCTGGAACACAAGGCAACCCTCCCTCCTTAGCCTCCTGAGTGCTGGGATTACAGACATGTACCATGCCCGGCCCTGTTTTTTGTATTTTTGCTAATAACCCTTCTGATTGGAATGATGTGGAATCTCAACTTTACTTTTTTGGGGTTTTTTTTGGTACCGGGCATCGAATTCAGGACCTTGCACTTCTGAGGCAGGCGTGATGCCACTGAGCTAAATCCCCGGCCCTCAACTTTACTTTTGAAGAGAGGGAGCTTCCTTCATGAAGAGGATCCTTAAAATAGTGGGGTTGTGAGGGCTATCTCATTTATTCTCCTTGGAAAGGTAAAGACAATGGCTATGCAGACAGTGGAAATTTTACTATGCATGATGGGTCATCTTAATGATTATTAGTTTTTGTTTTTGCCCCACTTTCTTGTTTAGTTTTCATTTAATGTAAGTTTGTTTGTTTTGTGGTTGTCATTTAAACTTCCACTTTGCAGATACAAATTCAAAGCACGAGAAGTTGATTCCAGAATTCTTGAAGGTGGGCCCATCTTGCCCAAGAGACCACCTGTGAAACCACCCACTCAGCCTATTGGATTTGATTTGGAAATTGAGAAAAGAATCCAGGAGCGAGAGTCAAAGAAGAAGTCAGAGAATGAACACTTTGAATTTCATTCCAGACCTTGCCCTACTAAGATCTTGGAAGATGTTGTGGTAAGAACAGCTGAGGCTTTGCATGCTGGCAGAAGTATCCTGACCATGACCGAGTACCCACCAATCCACAGATGTTCTGTGGTAGTACAGTAGACACTAAGGCATCATATAAGGAGCTAGAGATGATAAAGAGATAAAAGTGTTTGTTCTTAGGGCTTAAAGTCCAGTAATGAGGACAACATATGTGTAAATAATATGAGATAGGCAGAAGTATTTTGAGATAGATGACAGTTTAAAGTACTATATGAATTCAGAGGAGAGAATGATTTTTTCCAGATAGGTTGGGGGGGAGTGCTTTGTGGAGGAGGCAACATTTGCCCCGAGCCTTGACAGTTTTTTATTGTCATCTTGTGTTGTTATTGTCATGATAACCAACACTTGTACTCTGTCCCACCACTGCTTTATACCCTTTTCCTATATAGTCATCCCTCAGTATCTGGGGGATTGATTACAGATCTTCCGTGGATGCCAGATTCACCAGATACTCAAATCCCTTATATAAAATGTTACAGATAATTTCACATGAACTATACACACTTACTATGTGCTTTATTTATTTATTTATTTTTGTTTGAGATGCTTAGGGTGGCCTCAAACGCCTAGGTCTAGGCTCACGTAATCCTCTGCTGAAGCCTCCTTCCTGAGTAGCTGTGACTTGGAACACATGCCACCACACTCAGCTTACTGTCCTCTTTCTTTTTGCTTGTTTTAGAGCCAGCCATGGTTTTTTGGTAAAACCACAAGAATATATTACCTTTGACTGGATAAACTAGGGTTTTGTTTTTCTGTATCCTTAGCACTAAGTCAAAACTCATGATTATGCCTAGAAAATTTTCTCTCCTCATCCTCTTTCAGTTGAAAGCGATTTCCTTTTTTTTTCCTTTTTGGCTCTTTGGAGACAGGGTCTCACTGTGTAGCCCAGGCTGACCTTGAACTTGCAGGATCCTCCTGAGTGCTGGAATTAGAGGTGTGTGCCACCACACCCTGCAAAAGCTTTTTTCATTTGAGACTTCTCTTCTATTCACAATGCTTCCTCCTGCCTTTTTTTTTCTTTTCTGCTCTGAAGCACATACGCCAAAGGCCACATTCTGTTACAACAAACTTTTAAGAACCCACCTCCCCACCACCGTGTGATTAGTCTCTAAGAGCTGTGCCTTTTGCCTTCTTTGATTGTACCCTTAGTGAATTGGGTCCTGAATATGACAGGGTAAAGGTAGGTTATATGCAAACCTTCTGGAGTCAGAAGTCTCCACATGTCTTTATCCATCCATACATCCATCTATTACAGTGCTGGGAATTGAATCCAGGGCCTTCTGCCAACAGCTCAGTATGTTCATTTTGTTGGTAGTGGTAGTAGTATTTTGTTTGTTTGTTTTTGTCCATTTTTGTTATTTTATTTTATTTTTTGGTACCGGGTATCGAACTCGAGTCCTTCCACTTGCAAGGCAGGCGGCGGAACCACTGAGCTAAATCCCCGGCCCTGTTTTTGTCCATTTTTGAAACAGGGTCTCATTTTATAGTTCAGTTCATGCTGGCCTTAAACTCACTATGTAGCTCAGGCTGGCCTTGAACTCATAATAATTCTCTTGCATCAGCCTCCCAAGTGCTGGCATAACAGGCATGCTCTGCCATGCCTGGCATTGTGTTGATTTTATATACAAGAAAACTGCAGCTCAGAGAAAAGAAATTGTTTCCTTAAGACTTTTATAACAATAATTTGGTGTTATTTTGTTTGGGGGCTGAGGATTAAACCCAGAGCCTCATACATGCTAGACAAGCATTTTACCACTGAGCTACATACCCAGCCAACAATCATTTAGTATCTTGCTCTTAATAACATTTTCATTTCCAAGCTCCTAGCTTTCCCCCCTCCTGTATTTTTTATTTGGTACCGGGGCTCGATCTCGGGACCTAGCACTTGCAAGGCAGGCGCCGGAAACACTGAGCTAAATCCCCGGCCCCTCTCCTGTATGTTTTGTTTTTTATACCACAATTTTTACGACATTTTTAAACCCAGTTGAAAAATCACTTCAATTTGTAACTTAGAGTAATTTTAAAGTGAACCTTTAAATGCAGTACGTAAGGGCTGGGAATGTAGCTCAGTGGTGGCAAACCTCGAGTCTGTGTTCGATTCCCCCTGATACCAATACATACATACATACATACATACATACATACATACATACATACATAAATGGAAAATGATTCCATAAATAGACAAAAAATGGTTTTTGTCATGAACGACATAATAATAGCTAACATTTATTTATTTATTCTGGGTTTTATAATTTTATTTTATTTTGGTACTGGGGATGGAACTCAGGACCTTGTGCTTGCCAGGTGCCACTGAGCTACATCCTCAGCTCTAATAGCTGACACATAAAGCTTGTTATATACTTGGCTTTTATTCTAAACTATTTGTACAATAACTTAATTCTTACCAGCACCTCTTATGAAGTAAATACTGCAGGTACTTGTATTGATCCATTTTACATTAGGAAACAGTGGTAAAATAACTTGTGTAAGATTACAGACTATCCAGTGGCAGAACTAGGAAAAGAATAATAGGTTATGTGGTCCCAGTGTTCATGCTCTCCAAAATAGAAGGTTTTTGGGTTTTGATTTTGGTATTGTTGCTTTTGGCTTTTTGTGGTGCTAGGAATTGAGCATCCTATGTGCTAGGCAAGCACTAGAGTTCATTAAGAGTTGGTTGAGATCTTAAAGTAGCACTGTATCTGGTTATGCCTATTGAGAATTCCGAATAAACAGATCTAGAAAGCAACTAGATAAGTAAGGTGTTACTGAATTAATGTGGTGTGCTGAAGAAAAGTGTTTGCTAAATCCAGCTGGTTCTCAGAGTCCTGTGGGGGCTCTTAACGATGTAAACAGTTTCCTGGGCCCCAGCTCTGGAGTTTTTTGATTTGTTGGGCCAAAGTGTAGAGGGAGCTCAGGTGAAGAACTTAGAATATAGTGCCTGATACACAGTAAGCAGTCACATTGTTAGTAGTAATAACTGCTATTTTACTGAGTGCTTACATTGTCCCGAGTGCCTTATTTTTTTGATTGCTTTATGTAATTCATAATAGCTCTATTCTTATCCTTTTTTTTTTTTTTTAAGAAAAGATATCACTTTGTAGTTCAGACTGGCCTTGAACTCACTATGGTAGCCCGGGCTGGCTGGCCGCGCTGGCCTCAACCAACACGATCCTCCTGTCTCAGCCTCCCAAGTGCTGGGATTATAGGCATGTGCCACCACACCTGGCTCTTATCCCTATTTTTAAGAGGAGGAAACAGACACTAATAGATACCTCACATGCAGAACCGGGACTTGATGCTGGGTGTGGTGTAGCACACCTGTAATCAGCACTAGGGAGGCTGAAGCAGGAAGATCACCATGAATTCAAGGCCAGCCTAGATTACTTAGCAAGACTCTGGCTCAAAAAAAAGAACTGGGATTTGAGTCCATCACTTTCTTACACTATGTTTTGCTCCCCGACACCCGACATTATTTAATATTATTGTTTCTTTGACACATACAGCTTTTGAATTTGACATTGACTGTTTACCACTCTCTACTAAAATTTTAATTCAGGGCCAGGGATTTAGCTCAGTTTCACCACCTGCTGTGCAAGCTCAAGGACCTGAGTTCGATCTCCGGTACCAATCAATCAATCAATCAATAAATAAAATTTTAATTCAACTCTTGGTTTCTAGAGAAACAAATCATAGGACATCTTACATGTATTCCCTCTCACCCCTTTCCTGGTTTTGAGACTTGAACCCAGGCCTTTGCACATGCTAAGCAAGTACCCTACCACTAAGTTACTTACCACCACCACCACCACCACCACCCCACCCCCCGGTTATTTTTTTTGAATAGGATCTTGCTGAGTAGTTCAGGCTGGCCTTGAACTTGCAGTACTTGCAGTGATCCAAGTGCTGGGATTATAGGTGAGCACCACTATGCCTGGCTCTTCAGCCCTTTTAAAATTTTGTTTTGAGATGGATTCTTGCTAAGTTGGCCAGGCTAGCCTTGAATTTAAAATCCTTCTGTCTCAGCCTTCTGAATAGCTATGATTACAGGTGTCACCTAGTTATACCCTCATTTTTCAGAAAAGGAGTCTTTGAAAGGGGAGTGTGGCTTCCCCATAGAAACATACATTTACTTATTTGTTTATTTATTTATTTTTGCAGTACTGGGGATTGAACTCAGGACCTTGCACTTGTAAGGCAGGCGCAGTGCCACTGAGCTAAATCCCCAGCCCAAACATTTTTAAGAGTTGATGGTAGAACTGAGATTAGGTGTCAGACTTGTACAGTAGAACCAGAGAGCCTGCCTGTCAGAGCCTGGTGTGGCATGTCTTCCGGTACTGTCGTTCCCACCCATGGCCCCTGAGTGCTGAATTTCATTTCTTTGTGTCCTCACAGTCCTTCTTGTGGTATCTCACTTGTGGATAATAGGTGGCAAGAAAACAACAGTGCCAGTGAGAGATGGGCTTGGGCAGCAGTGAGCCATGAGGCAGAGATGACAAAAGGCTCCTGGGCAGAAGTGGGGTGATGAAAGCTTTGAGCACGAGGATGTGAAATGTCCACTTGATGCTGGGGCACCGTGGAGGTGGATGTGATGTCAGTAAGGGCACCAAGTAATTTTAGCAGATATTTTAGGGATGACTTAGGGAGGCCAGCAGCCCCCCACCCCCACCCCATATCCCCTGAGATAACATTGCTTCATGGTAATTTCTTAACTGCTGTGGGACAGGCCTGAGAGCTTGTCCCAGGGCACATGGGAGCATTTCCCACCATAGGGAGAAGTGCTCATCCTCATCTCCCATCCTGGCTGCTTCTTTTTCATGTGTCATCTGTCTACCTACATTGCCCACTTCTAACCATACATCCCTTCTTCACAGGTACCTAAATTTCCCTAATAGCTTTTAGCTGTATATTCTGCTAGGTTGAGAACATTTGTGAAAATTAGGAAATATTTAATTTATTTTGTTTTTGGTTTTGGGGGATTTTTTTTTTTTTTTTTTTTTTTGGTACCGGGGATTGAACTTGGGACCTTGCACTTGTGAGGCAGGCAGTGGAACCACTGAGCTAAATCCCCGGCCGGAAGTATTTAATTTATTACTTATTTATTGTCTCTTTTTTCCCACTGGAATGTGAGTTCCTTGAGAACAGGGCCCGTGTGTATCTATATTGTGCACTCTGTATCCTCAGCACCTTGTATAGTGACACCCCAGCACTAACTCTCCAGTACTGGACAACGGATTGAGTGACAGTACAAACTGATGTGTACCAACATGTGTTTCTAGTTTGTTAGACACTGGGAATTCAAACGGGGGATAAGACATAACCCTGGTCCTCAAAGCTTGTACAGGTTAGTAGAGCAGATTGACATGTAAGCAAATGCAGCAGTAGTAACCAACACATGCTCAGACATAACCCTGGTCCTCAAAGCTTGTACAGGTTAGTAGAACAGATTGACATGTAAGCAAATAAATGCAGCAGTAATAACCAACAGATGCTCAGTCACTCCCAGGTCTTTTTGTTGGTGCTGTAGAGAAGACAGGTATGCAAAGACAAAATCCTGGCCCTCAAGGAGCTCGTAATTCAGACTTAAAATAACAAAATAAGAAGCCATCTTTTTTTCTGGAAACCTGATTTCCTTTTCTGAATTTCAAATTGAGCCCCCAATTGGCTTTGATTGCAGTGCAGATGGAGTGTGTTAGTTGCTGCAGTGATGATTTTCATGAAACATCTTTTCCTATCCCAGCTAATTATGAGAGTTGTTCCCACTCACAAATATCTCCTTCATGGCCTACTAGAGATTTCCATTGCTTCTCTTTTAAAATGCAGATCTCTCTCCTGGTTGGATGTAGAGAGATGGAAAAAAATAGGAAAAGAGGGATTATTTTAGAACTAAATGAGTCCTCAGGTGTTTATTTTGATTATTTTGTGGAAAAACCTTGAGCCCTAGAAGGGTACCTAATGTTCCTAATTGTACAGGTTGGAAGCAGAGTTGGGACAGTTGGAAGCAGAGTTGGCAGAGTTGGGCTCTTTGCTCATTGTTCTTCCCACTTCTATATACATCTGTACATTCAATCAAGGTGTCCACCTTTCCAGGATATGGTGGAACAGCAGGTTTTTATCGTTTATGGTAAGAATCATTTGAAAACACATCTCTTAGACTCTTGTCACTCTGATTATAAGGTCTGGTAACTCGAATTTTATTATTCTAAGTGGTAGCATTCTTTACAAAACAAGAAATCTCACAGGAGAATAGTATTCCTTTCACAGTGGTCACCTTGAGACACTATAATCACAATCCTTCCCAGTGATTATGTTACTGCACAACCCATTCGGGAAAACCACTTGTCTTGTTACTAAGGTACAATCTTTTGGATTTTGACATGAGGGCAAATCTTCATGCTTTAAAGATTAATTTGCATTTAAAAGCTAGTTGAAAAATGTTTGGGACTAAGCTTTTTAAAAAAATATTTCCAACTAAAACTTCTAAGTAGTAAAAGATAATAGACGGAGAAACAGTTTCATCACATTAAAGGTAAAGATTGAGCAATTGTCTTGCATGGTCCAGAAAGTGGCTTTGAAAGGCACTCCAAGAAGGACATTCCAAACGTGTTTTGAGCAGTTGTAGCATTGTTGGGATTAAGAAGTCTCCCAAGGTATCCTTGTAGAGTCCAAGGTATAAATTCTCATGTGTTCATTCTTACTGCATTCATTTAATAGACATATACTGAATGCCTTACACTTGCCAAGGTCTGTGTTAGGTGCTTGGGATTGATGGAATAAAGTAGTGCCTATCCTTGAAGCACTCATAAGCTAGCTGGGGGATATAAACATCTAAATAAGTAAGTATAATGAGGTTTTATTTTTTTTATTTTTTTCGGTACTGGGATTGAACTCAGGACCTTGTTCTTTCGAAACAGGTGCAGCACCACTGAGCTAAATCTCTGGCCCAGAATGAAGTTTTATATACGTACAATCAGCTCACCTTATATTTGCAGACTGCATGTGCAGATAGAAATATTTGTGGGAAAAAATTACATTGGTCCTAAATATGTATAGTCTTTTCTTATCATTAGTCCCTAAACAATACAGTATAACAGCAATTTATATAGTATTTATATTAGGTACTATAATTACCTAGAGATGACTTAAAGTATATAGGGAAGATATGGATAGATTATATGCAAATTCTATCCCATTTTATATAAGAGATTTGAACATCTCTGGACTGGTATTCATGAGGGGCCACTTTTGTAGATCCTGAGAGTGGAGAGATCAATTGTCATGATACATGAATTTTGCTTCAAGAGTAGAGGGTGTTTGGGGATATCTGACTGAGTTGTGAACTCATTCCAGGGTGTTCCTGAAAAGAAGGTACTTCCAATCACCGTTCCCAAGTCTCCAGCCTTTGCGTTGAAGAACAGAATCCGATTGCCCACCAAAGAAGATGAGGTGATTTTCAAGGAGTAGGGAGTTTCTGTTTCCTTCTGTATAGGCAATCTAAGCCTTAACTTTACTCCCTGCCTTCCTCCTTGCCTTCCTTCCTTTTTTTTTTTCTTCTTCCTCCCCTCCCTCCCTCCCTCTCTCTCTCCCTCCCTCCCTTCTCCTTCTCCTTCTGCTTCTCCTCTTCCTCCTCCTCCTTCTCTTTTTTCCTTCCTTTCCTCCCTCCCTTCTTTCCTTCCTTCCTTCCATGCATCCATCCATCCATCCATCCATCCATCCATCCATCCCAGAGCCTCATGCATGCTAAGCAAGAATTCTTCCACTAAGCTCCCCACAATCCTTAAGCCTTACCATTTCTTAAACTTAATGGAGATCAAAGACACCAACTCTTTTCTGATACTGTCTTTAAGAATGGTATGAATATCTGATCATTTCTTTTGCTTCTCTGAGAGCAAAGTAGTTGGTGAGGTACAAATCTTCTGGATCTCAGTAGTAACCATTTACGATTTATAGAAAAAGTGTGGAGGAGTTGGGCATTGGAAGTTTGTCTGTTTCTGTAGCTTTGAAATCAGCCTGTCTTTGTAACATGGAGAGTAAGTTGCCAAGCCCTGTACTTTATTTTGCCAGAGTTGTTGTCACTATTCAGTGTGGAACTTTTAAAATGAGTAGTGACATCTCCCTTTGGCTGTCGCCATTAACACGAGGATTGCCAAGATGGCTGTGTGGTGATGGCTGATGTAATTGTAACATATAAACTGTCATTGATATACTAGTTTCTTATTACATCTCCTATTTTATCTATAAATATCCAGAGTTAGGGTAATTTTATAGCAGATCTCAAGCAAAGCCTTTTTATAGGTTCATTTGAAACTAAAATACACAGTAATCTTATGTTACCAATTTGAACCCAAACAACTTACTTCCTCCTATTCTGGGTTTGGCTGCTATTGACTCTAGTCACATGTGTTAGTGGAGTCTGGAGACTGGGTCAAAGAAGAAGAGGTTAAAGTATATGTTTGGTTAGTACTTTTCTTTTAATCTTCATTTTATTTATGCTGACTTATTAAGTTCTTCCCATAGTCCTGTGAAAAACTTTAGATCTGTTAGTCTTTTACTAAAGGATTTCACATTGCTCTCAGCCCTGTGATATGGTAGCTGACGTTGCCATTATCCCTCTTTAATAAAAAGGAAACTAAGACCTAAAGTTGAGTGACTTGTCTCACAGGGTGTCTTCTGACTGCATATTCTCTGAGGAGGTGGGAGAGAGTAAGGAGTCTTATTTCTTTTTTCTTTTTTTTTTTTTTTGGTACTGGGGGTCTAACTTGGGTCCTTGTGCCTACAGTGGAACCACTGAGTTAAATCCCCAGCCCAAGGAGTCTCATTTCTGAACTGCAATTTCTGTCTTAGGAAGAGGATGAACCGACAGTGATAAGAGCTCAGCCTATGCCACATTATGGCGTGCCTTTTAAGCCCCATATCCCAGAGGCAAGAACTGTAGAAATATGCCCTTTCTCCTTTGATTCTCGGGACAAAGAACGCCAGTTACAGAAGGAGAAGAAAATAAAAGAATTGCAGAAAGGAGAGGTAGGTGTTTCCATTTCTGCAAGTAGCATAATACTATTCTTTGATTCCTCACAGGTAACCTTTCATGTAGTACTTAACTAAAATTACTCCTTCCTTTGATCCTTCTAAGAACTATATGAAATACAAATAGGGCAAATAATTTAAATAATTCTTCTGGCTCAAAGAGGTTAAATACTTGCCTCTGATCACACTGCCAGTTGTTGGCCATATTGGGAGGAAAACCGAGGTTTCCTTTGGGGCCTGTTACTCCTTTCTATTGGACCATACTGTTTTGAAAACTGGTCATCCCTATTTGTTCACGTTCACTCACATATTCTGGAGCAACTATTGATTTCTGGCTAGAGAAATATTTCTGTTAAGTCACATGTTTTTGTTTTGTTTGTTTTTATTAGGTACCCAAGTTTAAGGCACTTCCCTTGCCTCATTTTGATAGCATTAATCTGCCAGAGAAGAAGGTCAAGAATGTGACCCAGACTGAGCCATTTGCATTGGAGACTGACAAAAGAGGTGCTAGGAAGGCTGAGACATGGAAGCACCAGGTGGGAAGATGGGGGAGCACCCAAATGTTGGTGGTGGTTGGTTGGTTGACCGGCAGACCCATGGCACTGAAATCATGAGAGATGAAATACTCAGTTGTTTCAGTAGACCCCATCTAAATCAGGGCTCAGCACTTTCTTTGGGAAAACACTGGAAAGTAAATATTTTAGGGTTTATAGGTTACGTGTGGCCTCTGGCTCTGTCACATTCTTTGTCTGTGTTTTCTTCCCTTTGAAAATGTAAAAACCATTCTTGGCTCAAGGGCTGGACAAAAAACAGTTTACAAGCTGAGTTTGGCCTGCAAGCTGAAGTTTGCTGACCCTCTCTTTATGTGACCAATCGGGAAATGTAAGAGCTATGGCTTTATGTGTCATTCTGTATAAGATCTCATCCATTCCAACTGTTAGACTTATTAATTAAATACTGTATTTACTCTTTTCTGTTGGTGTTATGGAGAGTAACAGGATGGGGGAATAGGTTCTCAATAAAATATGCTGTTTTCTCAGCATGGTATGGAATATACTTGTTCTTTATAGATACCAGGTAATTACAAACAATTAATTGGAGCCAGGCATAGTAGCTCACACCTATAATTCCAGCACTTTGGGAGGCTGAGGCAGGAAGATTTTAAGTTTGAGCTCAACCTGGGCTACTCAGCAACTTTCTCAGGGGAAAAAAAAGTTCTGGGGATATAGTTCAGTGCAAAGGCCCTGGGTTCAATCCCCAGTACCACACAAATAAAAACATACAAAGCCAATTAATTGGTTATTGGCTGGTTTAGTTGGGATCTAATTCTGTCCAGCTGGAAAATTATCTTCAGATTCCTAAGTCTGTCAGTATTTTTATGTCATCACTTATTCTGGACTCTCCAAAAGCTCTGAGCTAATCCTTATTTATAATACTCATTCTGTCTTAGTTACTTCCCCATTACCGGGACAGAATACCCAACACCCACAACTTTTCAAGAAGGAGAGGTTTATTTTGGCTGACAGTTTCAGTGGATTTAGTCTGTGGCCAGCAAGCTCCAAGGCAAAAATGGCAGGGTGGAATGGCACAGTGGAGAAAAGTTGCTCACATCATATGCTGGCCAGGAGGCAGAGAGAGGGTGACAGATTTCTTATAAATTTGAATTCCAGTTGAATTGTTTAAATCAAGATCCAGATAAGGCCCACATCGTGCATTTGTTTGATAAATCTCCAAGATTCTTTCACTCAGTGGGCTCCTCTCTTTGTATTTTATTTATTGAATGAACTGGATTGTGTAGGTTTTTCAGTCTGGGTTTTGTTGATTGTCTTCCCATGGTGGTGTTTAATAAGTTTGTCTACCTTCCATATTTCCTACAAATGAGTAGTCAGATCTAGAAGTTTGATTAAATTTTAGTTTTTGTACTTCTTGTTTGTTTTTTGGGGGTTGGGAAGAGTATAGGTGATACTACATGGTCAGGGTCCTTAATCATATCTATCTCAGGGCCAGGGATTTAGCTCAGTGGTTCTGCTGCCTGCCTTGCAAGCACAAGGACTCGAGTTCGATCCCTGGTACCAAAAAAAAAAAAAAAAAGAGAGAGAGAGATAGTTTTTTTTTTTTTTGGTATCAGGGATCGAACTCGGGATCTTGTGCTTGCAAGGCAGGCGGCAGAACCACTGAGCTTGATCCCGGGTCACCTTAATCATATCTACAGGCCTATAATATATAGTTGTTTATTTCTGCAATGGTTAAGATAGGCCTTAAAGGTATCTTATCTTAGCTGAGTGTGGTGGCACATACCTATAATCTCAGCACTTAGGAAACTGAGGCAGAAGGATTGTGAGATCAAGGCCATTTTAGGCTATGGAACAGTTCATATTTGGCCTGGACTATATAAGACAAAACAGAAAAACAGTTATGTTATAGAGATGCTGATGCAAGAGGACACAAGTTTAAGCTGGGCAATTTTGAGACCCTGTCTCAAAATTTAAAAAAATTTAAAATAATTTTTAAAAGGGCTGGGGAAGTGTAGCTCAGTGCAGAGGTCCTTGGTTCAATTCCCTGTACCTGGGGAGTATCTATGTGTTTGTGGTGGTAGGGTAGCTTAAAGATAGTTTCTAATTCTTATCTGTGGGTTCAGACATTATTGGGTGTGGGGGATTAACTAGCATTTATAATAAATCATCTGCTATTTTTATTTACAATGCAGTTCAGAAGTATTAGAATTTGAGTTAATTGCAGTGGTAGTGATGAGAAGTTGTGAACTTGCCTATCTGACAGACCTTTTTCCTAATAGCTGGAGGAAGAACTGAAACAGCAGAAAGAAGCAACTTGTTTCAAGGCTCGTCCAAACACTGTCATCTTCCAGGAGCCCTTTGTTCCCAAGAAAGAGAAAAAATCAGTTGCTGGTAGTATTCTCTGTACTACTGTGGGATTTGGGGCAGAATTGTCAGACTTTCTAGGGAATGCTCGTACTCAGTTGTATCAGGACAGTGTGGTAGAAGCCAGAAGTGTTTGATTTTAGAGGATGGTAGCTTTTCTTTCCCCTAGACCTCGGTTACTGTTGAGTTAGCAAATGTGTTGTGTCCAGATTGATATAACATGAGCCTTAGCATAATCAGCTGGCTCTTCAACAACAGTTACAGGCTTCCCTCACCTGAAGAGTAGTGAGTAGATAAGAGGGAGAGCTGGGAGGTCTTTTTGGAATTGGCCCCAAAGCAAGCCTTAGACACAAATCATTTGATTCCTTAGGCACTGGACACTGTGTTAAAGGTTGGGATTCTTCTACATCTATCTTAAAGTCACTGCAGTTTTGAGCAAGCTACTTTGCTTGCTTTTCTTCCATTTATATTAAATGTTTTCCAGGGGCCCTTCAACTGTTAGAATTCTGTGACTCCACCTCTCTTTTTTTGGTATCGGGAATCAAACTCGGGACCTTGTGCTTGTGAGGCAGGCGGTGGAACCACTGAGCTAAATCCCTGGTCCTCCACTTTTTTTCTAATGGGGTTTCCCTAGAGCTCAGCCTTTTATTGCCTTCCATGTCTCTGTTACTTAGCTCAGTCTGGGGTTGGGGGGTGCTGGGTTTATGCAGTTTCTGCTTGTGCACTAGTGTTTTTTTCTTTTTCTGTACTCAGAGGACCTTTCTGGTTCTCTAGTTCAGGAACCTTTTCAGTTGGCCACTGAGAAGAGAGCCAAGGAGCGACAGGAGCTGGAAAGGAGAATAGCTGAGGCGGAAGCCCAGAAAGCCCAGCAGCTGGAGGAGGCCAGAGAGCAGGAGGAAGAACAGAAGAAGGAGGAGCTGGCCAGGCTACGGAAAGAACTGGTAACTGGGCCACACAAGCACTGACTAACCCAGGGTTATCTCTCTTTTGTTTTCTCTCACCTTGTCTCATTCTAGTCAGGATCTATAGTAGCTTTCAAGACAACCTCAAAGGCAAGTGGGTGAAAGACATCATTCCAGCTGAGGTTAGGATGAGGTTAAGATGGTCATGACACAGAAGATGTATACGTGGTAATCTGAGGATAAACCATAATTTTGGCTCTTGAGGAACCAACCTGTCAGTTATGCAACACAACACGAGTTGTTCAAAATATACATTTGTCCTTGATAGTGAATTTAGACAATTTTTTCCAGAGATCATCATCTGGTATCCACATGCATAGTGATACATTTCCTAGGACTCTTGGTTATTTATTTATGTATATTATTTTCTTCCAAGATTAAGAAGCAATGCGTTGCTCTGGGCGTGGTGACTCACACCAGTAATCCTAGCACTTGGGAGGCTGAGGCAGGAGGATCACCATGTGTTCGAGGCCAGCCTGGGCTACATAGTGACCAATGTGTTTTACAATTAGACAAGAATATAGGGTATAGGAAAGGGTATGGGAATTGTGAAGCATCTGTACTTTTTTTCCCCTCGTCATACTTGGCTTCCAACTCCATGGAGTTATAGTGCATGTTGGTCTTAGTGATCTTCATGCTAACATTAGTATAATTACATAAGTATTAGTTATCTGAAAAGAAATCATTATCCACATTAAGCAACCCTTTGTTGGGAGGACACCAAGTTGTGTTATATACATTTAATAAAGAAGTAGATGATTTTAGATGAAACTTCATATAACTAGTAAAAGGATGTCTACAGAAATATATAAGTTGAGTTTTTGTCTAAAAGTGCTAAAATAGGGCCTGAGTGTGTCACTCAGGGGTAGAGCACTTGACTGCCATCTTTGAGGGCCTATGTTCAGCACCACCAGAAAACAAAAGCGCTTAGGCTGGTTGCTGAAACAGCTGTTGGCTTAGGTGACTGTGCCCACAGGCAGGCTTTTAGGACAAACTACTGGAGAGATCAGTCTCTCAGGAACATCAGGCTAGCAACTGCTGATTGAATGAGAAAACAATACACTCCCCACTTAAGATACACTCATACATAAAACTAGCCTCAACTTATCTAGTTTTTCTTCAATACTTGGTACCTGCCTCTTGTATTTGTCCTCATTATAGAACTGTTGCTTACAGCAGTTCTTAATATAGGCCACTGACAATATTCTGTAGCGCAATAATCTATGCTAGTTATCTCTCTACTAATCTAGCTTGATTCAAGATTGATCTTAGACCATCCAAAAGGATAGATGGGACCAAGTCTTCTCCGACAATCCCTCCTGTGTGTTGTTTTACTTTTTGTCTTTTGTTTTGGTCCATGATTTTGTAAAACAAAATATTAAAGGTGTGGTGGTGTATGCTACAATCTCAGCTATTCAGGAGGCTGAGCCAGGAGGATTGCAAGCTTGAGGACAGTCCAGGCAACTTAGACACCCCCTTAAAATAAAAAAGGGGCCTAGGGATGTAGTGTGAAGACCTTGAGTTCAATCCTCAATACCATATACACACAAAGAGATAGAGGGGCCAGGGATTTAGCTCAGTGGCACCTCGCCTGCCTTGGAAGCACAAGGTCCTGAGTTCAATCCCCACTACCAAAAAAAAGAGAGAGATAGAGAGTCAGTAAGCTTAAGATTGTACTGTGGGTAATTCTCAACTCATAACTCTGTACAATTGAATACAGCCTCATTATACCTTAGTACAGTGGTGGTGAACTTATGGCACGTGTGCCACAACAGGCTGTTTGTTATCATGGAAAGCACTAAAGGTTCGCCATCACTCCCCAAGTAAATCACACTGGAGATGAGTTTGGCATCTTTAGTGAGGAACCCAACAAACAACTAATAGAAAGCTGTTGGTCTCCAAAAGCTTATGTACTTTCCCATTTTACTCTTATCTCTCCACTTTCCCTTTAAATTCATGACTGAGATCTGTAAAACTACACAACCATTTTCTCTAAAAGAAAAAAAGCCAGGTGTGATGGCACACACCTATAATCCCAGCACTCTGGGAGGCTGAGGCAAGAGATTCGTGACTTCCAGTTCAGCCTAGACAGTAAGAGACCCTATTTCAAAATTTTTTTTAAAAAAAATTTTGTTTTTAAAGGCTGGTGCTTGAGGGTCCCTGGGTTCAATACTGCAATAAAACAAAACTACTATGGATAGTTCTCTTACATCCCTCTCAGTGATAACTTTATTTTCCTTGCTTTGCAGGTGCACAAGGCAAATCCAATACGCAAGTACCAGGCTGTGGAGATAAAGTCAAGCAACCAGCCTCTGACTGTCCCTGTCTCTCCTAAGTTCTCCACTCGATTCCACTGCTGAATTAAGCTGTGAGCTCCAGATACTGCCTGGCAGCAGGAGCTGCTCATTACGTCACACCAGGCATGGATAGAACTCTTTTCTCCAGACTCACCAACCCATGCCTATCAGCATACCTACAACTGTGGGGCCAGTTCTGTGGAGAAGTGTTTTCATACATTTTAAGGCTAAAATGAGACTCAACTAACTTATGTATTCCTTGATGAGACTTCTAGTGGTTTCCTTTAGACATCAGTTTACCCTTAATTAGAATTTCAAGTCTCTGTGTCAGCACAGTGCAATTTCTTTTTCCCTTTATCCCTTCCCTTTATATATATATATATATATTTTAATCAGAAAATAAAGATAGTTAAATCTTGAGGTAGGATGTAAGTCATGGTTTAAATGAGGAACAGTCAGTATATCAGATTCTTTCCTCTTCTCTGTACAAAATGAGTTTATAATTAAGAGCCTTATGCCATGAGAGTGGAGAACCTCAATCACTGTGCCAGTGAAGAAGACCACATGGCCTCCTGCAGACACACAGCAGCCACTTGGCAAGCTTCTAGCAGAGCTGCTGTTAAGGCCCATTCCCGCCTTGGTGCTGAGTACATTTTAGGACCGGGCCAGGAATAAATGTATTTTGTCTTTCCCCTCCCTGGTTTTGTTACTTGGTGTTTTAAAATTTAAGCTCTTTTTGAGGTCACATCATATTGGGAAAGTGAGTGATTTGAAATGTGGCTCCAGGATCTTTCCAAAACTCAGGCTCTATCCTTAAAGGAAAGTGCTTTGTAACTTTTTTCTATCCATGGCAGAATATTACTCCATATTTTGTTAACTCGCTTCCAGTAACCACCTAATCATGTGTTATACCTTCACATAGATTGTGCCTTCTTCCCTAGATGAGTTTTTTTCTCATCCTTATAAGATTCAGCTCAAGTAAAATATATTTTAGAATTCTTTCCTTAACCATCTGACCTAAGATAAGGATGGTCACTTCCTTTGTGCCTTCCAAGTGTTTCTTGTATGAAATATCTCTAGAGCAATTGTCTCCTATCTGAGTTGCTTATAGTTCTTCACAAAATAATAGAGATATGTCAGTTTCTTGAAGACAAGAATTATTGTAGTCCTCTGTATTTCTTGTGATTGGCACATAATTGGCTTAGGTCTATGTTAAGTAATACATTTTCTTTTGACTTTCCATTATTTTTGAGTATCTACTCTGTCATTCGTCTACTTCTGTGCCAAGAGATACAAAAGCAGCCGTGTTCTGTACAGACTGGTCCTAAGCACCATATATGATATGAGACCTAATGCTTTATCCATGCACTGAGCATTTATGGATTTTCTGTTATATACAAGCCACTGTAGATCCAGCAACAGGTGACAGCAAGGTAGTGCTTCTCAGTATGACTTATAGATTGCTCCCTCCTAGAGGCCATGGATCACCACAAAATGATGTTCTTTATTTCCCAGAGATAGGTAGCATATGGTTTTATAATCATTTATTTAGTTCATTTAATAAACATTTATGGTGCTAAATATAAACGTACACACCACCCTCTTTGGGTACTGTTCCAGTCTCTGGGTATACAGCACTGAGAAAAAAGGACTGTACCTTTGATGGACCTTATTATGTTTTAGTGGGAGGGAGAGACAGTAACATGGAAGTGTTCTTCTGTCTGATGAGAGATCTTACCATACCTGCTGTGCAGATAGTCTAGGGTGGAAGAGGAGCATGTGAGATTGGGAAGGCAGTGCTGCCAGTAGCTTGGTAGGGTGGTTGCAGTGGAGGTGGTAAGAGATGGTTGACTTCTGAGTGAATTTGACCTTGTAATTGATAAGACTTGCTAAGGGATTGGACCTGGAGAGAGAGGGGAGTTACGAAGGCCATACAGCTGTCAGCCTCAGACAGACATAGTCCTCCATCGCTTGTACAAAGATGAACCCAGTTCTTGGATTCTTGGTTGTATTTTTCTGGACATGTATTGCTTTGGTTTTTCCACCCCTACTAATCTCTTGGTTTCTTCTCTGGATCTGTCCTGTGTAGCTTTTCTCTCTACTTGTGTCACAATTCTCCTCTACCAGTTCCCTAATTCATGTGTTTCCATCTGACATCACTTTTTCATGTATCTTGTATGTTTTTGTTTTTGATTGTTGGGACAATAAATCTAGCCCTCTGAGTACTTTTAGTAAGTATTACTGTATTAAGAATTATGGACTTGGAATTACATGGTTTCATTAGAGGTGCCTACTATCCAGATGTTTTTAGGAATAAAAGCAGAATTTCTGAAGAAAAAAGAGAATTACAGACTTAGAAATCTTCCATCACATTGGCCCCATTCTGGATTGTCCCCTGCCCCGCCCCCATATCAGAATGGTAATATGTGGCAGTGTTTTAGAGAAGTTATAAGATGTGATTAAAAATAGGTAAATACTTAAATTTTAAGAAATTATTATAGCAAAAGGGCCGCGGATTTAGCTCAGTGGCACCTCACCTGCCTTGCAAGCGCAAGGTCCTGGGTTTGATCCTCAGTACCAAAAAAAAAAAAAAATTATTACCGCAAAAGACACATTGCCGTGACTCTCCCTTGCTTTGAACACACTTATCCCATTGTTGTTGCTACTTTTGAAGCAGCTCTGGAAGTACTCTTGTGTCATGACTGCCTTGATAACCTGAATTGATTCAAAATGTTGGCCTTTCATGGTCATTTTTACTTCAGGGAAGAGTATGAAGTTGCATGGTACATGATCCGATGAATAAGGTGAATGAGGACACACATGTTTTATTTGACAGAAATTGCTGTACTAGAAGTGATAGGTTACATGGAGCATTGTCATGTTGGAGGATGAAACCATTTACCCAAACTCAGGTCATTTTCACCACATACAATTTTTTTTTACCACATACTATTTTTTTAATCCTCTAATAAGTTCTTATAATATTCAGAGTTCACTGTAGTGTTTCCAGGAACAAACTCAGCTCACACATTTCCATCAGGGTCAAAAAGCACATTACCTTGATGTTAGAGATTATTGATATACTTTTTTCACATGAAGAAAACGGGGTGATTTCCATTGACAACCGTGAACCTTGGTCTCAGGATCATAACCAGACCTATTTCTTCTCCCTTATGACATTTCTTAAAAAGTTGGACTCTGAAGCTACATGATCATGCAACTGCAATGAAACTGATACAATTTCATGTTAATTTGGTGGTATTTTGTTTTTGTTTTTTTGGTTGTTTTGAGAAGAGGTCTCACTATATAGTTCAGGGTGACCTTGAACTCATTGTATAGCTCAGGCTGGCCTCAGCCTCCCAAGTGCCAGGACTACAGGCGTGCATCACCATGGCCAGTTAATGTGAATGTGTTGTTCTTAATCCATAATTTATGGTGTAGTTTAAAAACACACTTCTCAACTGTAGCTCACAACTGACTGCACCAAACAAGTTCAAACTTGTCACATGCTCTTACTAAGATTTGACTTGCCACTTCATGTATTGAAGATCCCTGCCTTTCCATTGGATGGCACTTAGCAGGCAGCATTCACCCATATTTTTTGATCACCTTATACATTACTTCAGAACAAATAGTTTAAAACTGAGTATCTGTTTCTCCTCAACACAATATCGTGTCCAGTATTGAGTCCTCTTGCTGGGTGCCCTCACTGTTACCTATCTTTTTCTTCCAGAAACTCAAACACTAATTTTAGAGAGAAATTCATTTTTTTTTTTTTGTCCCTCCCAGCCAAGTTCTAGAAAGAACTTCATCTTTCCATACTCAGAGGTTACTCAGGAATTTTTCTAAATAAATGAAACATCCCGAGATAAGAATTTACCAAGTTCTACTATAGAAATCTGGCTGCCATACTTTGCTTGGCAATTTTGCAAAGTTCCTAATATGCATGCACATGTAGGTTGTTGGAATTCCCACAGTTTCTGGGAAGGGTGGTTTTCAGAAGGGTTTTGACTTGGTTGTGGTTTTTCATTGCTCATACTTTGTACTAATTCACGTAAGTTCACTTTCACTCTTTGGTTGATCACTTTTTTCCTTGTATAATGTCTTGGTCTTTTGTTTGGTTTTTCAAAACAGTCTTGCTATGTAGTTGAGGCTGGTTTTTTGGGGGGGCAGGGTTGAGTACGGGGGATCCAACTTGGGATCTTGCACCTGTGAGGCAGTCGGTTGGAACCACTAAGCTAAATCCCTGGCCCTAAGGCTGGTTTTGAACTCACTATGTAGCCCAGGCTGGCCTTGAACTTTCAGAGATCCTCCTGCCTTATCCTCCCTAGTGCTAGGATTACAAGCATGCACCACCATACCCTGCTCCTCATGTAATATCTTGGCTGCTATTTTGCTTGCTGTTTTATTCCTTACCAGTTCTTTTCTGAGGAGTTTGGTCCCTGGAAAGTCAAGCAGACTGGTGGACAGACTGCAGTAGTGGTTGCTCCAGCATCTAACAGAAATGAGACCTGGACACACATAAACACAAGATAGAATGCAACTCAGTAATCAGAGACAGTGCTGTAGGAGTTCAGGGATTCTTGTTGGAAGTGAGGTTATAATTCATAAAGATGACTTTTCTTTTTTTAAAAGTAAAAATTCTAAAAGTGTTCACAGTTGGTTATTTGTCTAGGTTTTGAGGGTCTTGCTTATGGCTGGAGTGTCTGGTTGAACCTGTATGTCCTGTGTTGACATTGCTTCTTTTGTGGTTCCCTTAAAAAAGGCCATCTCCTGGAAGCTGATTTGCTGGGGAAGTTCTTCAATGCTGAGAGAAGCAGTTAAAAAAGTTGTGAGCTGGGCTGCTATTTCTGCATAAGCAGACTGAGTTTCAGATTAGTGGTTTGGATCCAGGTAGGCACTGGTCAGCATTCTGAATCCTGAGCTGCCTTCTGCCTTACAGCGTGCTGGGATGTTCAGTTAGAGAACATATAAAGTTTCCTGGAGACAGGACAAGCCCAGGCCTATGGAAAGAGCAGGAAGGTTAAAACTTTGAGGAGTGACAAAGGCGTAACCAGGCAGCTGAATGTTTGCTCCAATGCCAGGAATTCCAGAACAATATGTTATCCAGCTAAAGCCAATGTAGTTGCTACAGAAGGGAAACCTGGGGACAAAAGCATACTTCCCTCTTGTTTTCTGTATCTTCTTGCATATTTACTCTTTCCTAGTGCTATGGGAACAGTTGCTGACATTGCAAATGTCCAATGATTTTTGTTGTTCTCTGTCTTGTAGGAGAATAAAAGGCTAGGCTCAGGCCAAAGCACGTTTCTTATGTGCTGAAGATATCAGCTTCCTGGAAGGCCTTCACCAGTGCTGATATTGCAACTTGCAGAAATCATAGTTGGAGGGTTAGGGGTAACTGGCTAAAAGAAATATTAGGTTTTGGTAGGAAAGAATGATTGTTTACCAGACTAAGCTTGACCTGAAGATGTCAGTTGCCCTTCTCCCTTTAAAAAAGGTTTTTATTGGACAGAGGAAATAAAAGCCTGGCCTGTCTGGTCTGCAGAGACCCAGCTAGTTATGGAACAGGCAGTGTGTGAATGTGCTGAGAATCAACCAAGTGCCGTGGCCTAACTTATTTTGGCAGTGGTAGTATTCTTGGACTCTCAGGAGCAAGGATGAGAGAAGTAGATTATGGTGGATCAGGATACTAGTCTATGGTAGCTCCCTTGTAATGTGGAAAAGTAGTTTGGGGCCACATTGTTGAAACTTGCTTGGTGCCAGAGATGAGGCATCTTCAGCCCCATGCTGACCTTTTCCCATCATGGGCATACACACTGCATTACACAGATAATCTTGTATTTTTTTAAAAACTAAATTTTATTTTATCCCATTCCTCCCCTCATTGTGTTTGTTCTTTTAAGGTAAAATTTGTGTCCTTTTTTAATATATGAAGTGTGATTGAAAAATATGGTGAATGTTTAAATTTTAAAAAAATTATTGTATTACTAATTGTATTAATCCTCCTTCGAATACTCATTTCAATACACTTACCCCTCATTCTTGCTGCTTTCTGAAGCAGTTCTAAAATTGCTTTTTTATTATTGCTGTTATTGCTGCCTTGATATTCTGAATGAATTAAAAACTTCTGCCTTTCATTGTCATTTTGACATTGAGAAAGAAATAGAAGTTGCAAAAAAAAAAGAAATAGAAGTTGCATGTGCCAATCTAGTGAACACGGTGGATGAGGGCACATTGTAATGTTTTTTACGCGCTTCCTATCCGTTGGATGACACTGGGTACCAGCATTCACCATATCTTTATTACACCTCCTAAAGACACAGTGCCTCGGGCCAGGGATTTAGCTCAGTGGTTCCGTCGCTTGCCTTGCAAGCACAAGGACCCGAGTTCGATTCCCGGTACCAAAAATAATAAAAAAGACACAAAAAAGGACTTCAGAAGTGCTTCAGAAGGTGGCAAGAACAATGGGATAAGTGTGTTACAAGTGAGGGGAATTAATAGGAATGTGTCTTTTACTGTAATACATTTTTAAACATTTACTGTATATTTTGATCACACTTTGTTTTTTCAGTGTATATTCTTTTGGTACACTGCTTTCATTTAGCATCATGTGTTTTTCCTGTATTATTGCATACTTGTAAGTACCAGTTGTACAAGCATACTGTTTCATTGTTCTAAGCTCGCTTCTTCCCAGTGAAAATGCTTGTTTTGCATAGGATTGTTCCAGACTCTATTTATAGGACAGAATTGCCTGCATCTGCTTCCCTCTAATGTGTCATGTCTGTATCTAAACTCTGTGCTTTAACCATTTACCAGTCTATCTATGTAATTAAAATATAAGCTCAGAAGGAAACACAGGTCTGTCCCCAAGCATAATTCATAACATTGTGGCACCCACACTTGCAGGATGGAAAGGCTCTATGGCTGGTATGATGTCAGTATTACTGGCACTTATACCCAGTGGAAAACATTATTGACATTTAGCAAAGTCTTTTTGGAGATAATTTTAGTTACATTATTTTAAAGTCTTGCAACTTTATATTTTCTGTTAAATTTACACAACAGATTTGTTGTCTCTAAGCCTTCAGATTAGATTTAAAAGGAGGAAAGGAAGCCCTTGGTGTTACTACTGGAGTTGGGTCTTTTGGGAAGAGCAGAGGATGGGGATTATGGTCTCATTTTGTTCTCTGACAAGCTGGGTGATGTTTAACAAGTTATTCCACTT